TAATAAAATAATTCTTTATGGGTATTCAATTTTAAGAAACATTCAGTTATTTAATAAAATATTTATTAATGTTTTTTTTTAAATATAATTCTTGTAGAATTTTCTAAGAAAATTTGATTTAAAAATCAATTTTAGTTAAAATTTTAGATATAATAATTAAATATTATAAGCATTATAGCGTTAATTTTTAGAATTAATTGAATTTTGAAAAGGTTTCCAATTAAAATTTTTGAAGATCTGAATTTTTCATATTTTTAACTAACAATTCTGTGGAATTAATTTTTTTTGCGAAAGTTGAATTGCGAATTTTTTTTTGAAATTATTTGAAATTTTTATTTTCCAAAATATATTTAATATTGAAGAATTTACGAATAATTGAAATTTTGTAAAATTGAGTTATAAACAACTGAATTTGAAAATTCTTAAAGAACTTTCTCTAAAATTATTTTTAAAAATAATGCATTTATAGAAAAATTTTGGTTAAAAAAACAATTATTTTCATAAATGATAAAATTTTTACAGGGATTCAATTATGTTCGTAATTATTAAAAATAATAAATAACTTAAATTCTTCTATAAATTTTATAGAAGAATTTGAGTTAAAAACACAAAAAAAAATTTAATTTTGGAAAAGTTACAAATTATTGCAGAAATTCAATTATTAATAAGTAATAATATTCTTCGCAAAAATTAAATATTGTTCAAAAATAATAAAATTCTTCTTAGGGATTCAATTATTTTCTCAAATAATAAAACTCATCGGAGAATTTCAATTATTTTTAATACAATTTTAATCGAATTCCTTGAAAAATGTAACTATATTCTAAAAATGTTATTAAAATTCGTGAAAACAATTGAGTTATTTAAAAATTTGTTAATTTCTTTATGAGAATTAAATTTTAAGAAACATTCAATTATTCAATAAATTCATTATTTTTGTATTTCAATAATTGAATTCTAGTAGAATTTTCTAATAAAAATTGATTTAAAAATGAATTTCAGTTAAAATTTTAAATAGTAATTGATTATTGAATTTTTTTTATATTATTTAAAGTTTTTATTTTCGAATATTTATTTAATTGAAGAATTTACGAATAATTGAAATTTCGTAAAAATTGAATTCATTTGGAAAGTTTTATTAAAATAATAGATATTAAAAATCATTGAATTGAGGAAAATTATTGAAAATAGTAGAAATTTTTCCAAAAATTTCATTAAATTTTTTAAAAATAATTTAATTTCGGAGAAGAATTTTATTATTTATGAAGGTAAATGAAATTTTGACGATAATTTTTTTAAACTTTTGAACATTGAATAATTTAATTGAATTTTTGTAAAGAATTACATTACTTTTGAAAATAATTGAATTCTTGATACGAATTTTATTAAAATTTCTTTTTAAATAATTGAATTTTTTTGTAAAATTTTATTGAAACAGTAGACATTGAAAATAATTGAATTTTGACAAATTTTTGAAATTAATTAAATGTCAACGAAGAATTTTATTAAAATTTTTTTGAAAATTCAATCATTGATTATGAAATTTCAATTTTCAATGAATTTAATTATTATTATTATTATTATTTTATTACTCCGTCATCTTTAATTATTATAAAACATGAAGAAATCGATAGCTCGGAGTTATCGATATCTTCATGTTTTAATAGTTATGAAAAATTTAATATGCAGTTTTAAGTAAAATGTTCTCTTATTTGACTCGGACTGTTTATATTTTTGTCAGTAATTGGTTCGTAATTTTCATTTTTGGTCCTTAAAAGTGTATTTTTAAATACTTTCACTGGTTCGAGCCTTGAGAATAAAAAAAAAAAAAAAATAGTTTGACTTTTCGGAAAAGCCCACAGTTTACATCTTTTTCCAAAAAACAGGGCAAAACCGTGAAAAAAATGCTATACTTTTGTCAAACTTCATGAAGTCCACGCTAAATTTAAAAAATAATTTATATTAAATTGCTTTTTCGTTCATTGAACGGTTGGAGACTTCAAGTACATGAAAGAACGGTATTTAAAAATAATTGATACTCACTCATATAGACTTGACATTATATAGTTAGAATCGATATTTAGTTTCGCACAATAGTATGTAGTTACAATTATATTATACAGAAAGTTTAGAGTAAAAATTTAATTGTTTGACGTAGTTACAAAACGATAAAACTTGACAATGTTTAACCACAGTTTTAAACTATACTCTAAAGTTTTTATATATTTATATTTTATATACAATATTTAGAAACTTGAATCGTGTATATGAAATTAAATATTCCCGCCTGATAAAATATTAAGCAGGAGACATTAAATTAGTTATGACACACATATATACATAAAATGACATAAATTGCATAAATTATCCATATTTCTCATTCATCATTTCAAGAAGACGTTAATTCACTCCAACAAACTATTAATTCCTCACATAATATTCCAAAGACAGTACATATATATATATTCCTTCCCCAAGTTTTCCTGGTTGTCGTTCATAAACTTTCGACATGCATTTTAATTAAAGATTCGTCTCTCTCACTCCTTTTTATATCTCTCTTTCTCTTTTTTTCTTTCTCTTTCTATCTCTTTTATAAAACTAAAATTACCAACGTTTATTTCAATGGAAATTTTTACTTTTGCTACTTCAGCGTTGTCACAGGTCAGGAACGTCAGGAAATTCAGGGAAAAGACAGGGAAAATAGAATTCGTCAGGGAAATCAGGGAAAAGTCCGGGATTTTTATTAAGAGAACGGGAAAAAATTATATTTTCAGAATTCGTAAGAAAATTCTGAATTTTGAAGTATTTTTTGTCTCCCTCATAAACTATGGAATTACCACGAATTCTAATACAAAACTTTCAATTTTTTCTATTTCTGACAATAATTTCTTTTTAATTATGTAACTTCATTCTTAAAAAACTATATCATAAAATTATTATTTAGAAATTATTTAATGAATAATTTTTCTTTAATTTTTCAAAATTAATTGAATTTTAAGAGTTATTGAGGTTGCAATTTTCATTAATAGATGAATTTCAAAAGGTTTTGAAATTTTTAATTTGAAATTTTATGACATTTCAATTTTCAATGAATTTAATTATAAAGAACTTGGATTAAAAAAAAAAAATTTATATAATTCAAATTCTTCGGAAATTAATTAAATCTTTTAATATATATTTAATTAATTATTGAAAATAATGAATTTATAGAAGAATTTCACTTAAAAACACCAAAAAAAAATTGAATTTTGGAGAAGTTACAAATGATTGAAAAAATTCAATTATTTTTAAAAGTAATAAAATTCTTTACAGAAATTCAATTATGTTAAAAAATTTTTAAAATTCTATTTACAAATTTCAATTATTTTTATAAATAATAAAAATCTGCTCCAAAATTGAATTATTTTCGAAAATTAAAAAAAAATTCTTCGCAAAATTTCAATTTTATTTTCAAAAAGTTTCCTAGTTTCAATGGTTTTCAATATCTGCAATTTTTATAAATTTTTCCCAAAGAATTCAATTATTTAATAAAAATGTATTAAAACTTTACGCAATTATTCAATAAATTGTTTAATTTTGTATTTAACAAATTAAATTCTCGCAGAATTTTAATAAAAATTGATTTAAAAATGAATTTTAGTTAAAATTTTATATAAAACACATTGCAGAATTTCAATTATTTTTAATATAATTTTAATCGAATTCCTCGAAATTTAAAGTTTCAAATTAAAATCTTTTAAGATCTGAATTTTTCATATTTGTTAACTAACAATTCTGTGGAATTAATTTTTTTGAGAAAGTTTAATTGCGGATTTTTTTTAAAAATTAATTGTAACTTTTATTTTCTAATAAATATTTTATTGCAATTGAATAATAAACAAATGAATTTAAAATTCTTAAAGAATTTCTCTCAAAAATTATTATTAAAAATAATGCATTTATAGAAGAATTTTAAAAATATAAAAAAAGATTTAATTTTAGAAGAGTTACAAATTATTGCAGAATTTCAATTATTTTTATAAATAATGAAATTTTTACAGGGATTCAATTATTTTTGTAATTATTAAAAATAATGCATATTTATAGAAGAATTTTATTTAAAAACACGAAAAAAAATTGAATTTCAGAAAAGTTACAAATTATTGCAGAAATTCAATTATTTTCACAAATAATAAAACTCGCCGCCTCTTAAGCAATTTTTTTCTCTTGATAATTATTTATCTAAGGCGGGAAGAGCAGTGATTTTAATTTATTTTTCAATAGTGATTTTTATACTTGAAATTCCATGACTTTTGGAAAATCCGTGACGAAAAATAAAAATTTACTGCGTTTCCCGACTTCCTTTTGTAATTTTCCTAATGACTTCTAACATTGAAATAAATAATTTTCGTCGAATAAACGTTGCTATCTTCAGTATCAATTCTCTCTTTCTATTTTTTGCCGTTTCAAGATTTTCTAGTTTTTTTAAAATTGAAAAAGAGGGGAATTTAACATAACTTTTACGTAATGACGAATTTAGTAATTAATTATGTGTTCTATAGTTGATATATGATGAAGGAGAATGACAAGTCTTCGATATAAGTATTCATTGGAGGAAGGAGGATGGAAGAGGGTTAGTGTGTGTGTGTGTGTGTGTCGGGCAGTGTGCGCACAGCTGGAAGTGGTTTAGCGTCACGTGAGGGTGGCAATGAAGTTTATCTGGAGAGAGATAGAAACAGAGAGAGAGAGGGGGTAGGGAGAAAAAGTCCGATGGCGCAGAATTCAGAAAAAGGGGGGACGAATCGCGAGGAGGGAAAGGGTTACTCTCGCGCCGAGGTAGGGATAAGAGCGTCATCCCCAGGTTGTGGAAGAGGTGGCACACCAGAATCACTAGTAGACAGTAGACTTCAGTCGACATTCGCGACTCACGCTGTCACGAATTCGCTTCTGGTTTCACATTTTTAAAAAAAATAATAGTCTCCCTCAAAGACTGTCTTGGTGATTTTTTTTTTTTTTTTGGACTGTCGGAGTCTTTTAGAAACTCTTCGAAACTTTTGGGGTCTCCTAGAGTCTTTTGGAAATTCTTGGAGCCTTTTGGAAACTCTTGGAGTCTTTTGGAGTCTCTCGAAGTGTTTTGGAGTCTATTAAAGTCTTTTGAAGTTGCTTCGAATTGTTTCCAAGTTACTTCAAGTAGCTTCAAGTTACCTTTGAGTTTATCTTCTATGTGCTTCAAGTTGCTTCGAGCACAACTTCGATTAACTTCGACAACGAAAAAGATTTAAAAATCGGGAGAGAATCTAGAGTTGAAGATGCTTTGCCGGAACACGTGTTTTATTTAAGCTCTAGTCGGCTTTTCTTTCGGGGAACGTTGATTATTATTCGGATTCGGTTGATAGAAGAAGTGCCGGTGTCTCTCGATAAGAAAAGAGGCAGATGTTTTGTTTTTCTTAGTTGCGTTTAGCGACTTGAGTGAACGACTGATAGGCTCCAAAGGTCGCTCGATAAACGAAGATAGAACAAATGTGGCGCACTGCGCGTGTGTGCCTTCGGAGGGAATGGGTACCTGATAGTAGAGTGTGAAGTGCGAGGTACCTGTTCATTGATTGCACAAGGTCAGATCATCGCGATAAGTCATTAATGATTCTCGATCATCCGAATAGGGTACCCCAAGTGTTTTGAGTTAGTGCTTCAGATAATGATTTCGAATCAGAAGTGTTTTAAATAACAAGAAGTGTTTTGAATAAGGTTCGAACAAGAAGTGCTTCAAATAAAAAGGATTTCGGAAAAGTAAGGCTTTCGAATAAGAAGTGTTTGAAAATAACAAGGATTTCTGATGAGAAGCATTTCGAATAAGAAGTGCTTCAAATAAAAAGGCTTTTGGATAAGAAGTGCTTCGAATAGGAAGTGCTTCAAATAGGAAGGATTTCGGGAAAGTAAGGCTTTCGAATAAGAAGTGTTTGAAATAACAAGGATTTCTAATGAGAAGCATTTCGAATAGGAAGTGCTTCAAATAAAAAGGCTTTTGGATAAGAAGTGCTTCGAATAGGAAGTGCTTCAAATAGGAAGGATTTCGGGAAAGTAAGGCTTTCGAATAAGAAGTGTTTCAAATAACAAGGATTTCTAATGAGAAGCATTTCGGATACGAAGTGTTTCGAATAACAAGTGCTTCAAATAAAAAGGCTTTTAAGTTAAGAAGTGTTTTGAATAGTAAGGCTTTCGAATAAAAAGTACTTCAAATAAAAAGGCTTTTGGATAAGAAGTGCTTCGAATAGCAACTATTCGAATTAGAGAAGAAGAAGCAGAACTGTTTCGAACAAACAAAAAAGGATTGTGTCGGAAAAGCAGAAGAGGATTTCCGGAAAAGTATTCCGGATTAGCGACAAAGGATTGATTCGAGAACAAAAAACTCTTTTTTCGCCAGCGAGAAGGGGAGGAGGAAAAAAAAGTTTTGCGTCCGTAAACCATGCAACCGGTTCGACGTCGTCGCCGTCACCATCGAATGGAAAGACGATATCATTCGCGCGAATCTATCAAGGCCCATTGCCAAAAATAGATGGTCGAAGACAAACCCGAGAAGAAGAAGAAGCAGCAGCATTCTGGAGCGGTTGTTAGCAGACACGTGATTCAATCGGAATACACGACACATCGATCGTATTTCAGCTGACTAGAAGTGTGATAGCGGTGTTGGTGTTGATAAGAGAGAGAGAGGGGAAAAGTTTTGCGCCCGGGCGGGTGGCGCTTGTGTGTGTAAACGTACTAGTCTCTTGTGTTACTTTTGTGGACCTTGAAAGATGGGCGTACTCCTAATGGCGGAAGGCATCCACCCTCGCATGGAGTTGAACCCGGTTAAACTGTCGCCAGTGAACAACGCTCATGGGACCGGTGTGAGCAATAACGCCAACAGCATTGTCATTGATGTTAACGATACCAACAACTCCGCCACGCCAATCACGTCGTCGCGAGTTGTTTCACAAATGATTGACGACAACAATGTCGATGATGGAAAAGACGAGCCGGCACGCTGGATGCCGCCACCGCCGAAGAAGAAGTGGATCCGGCATTACCTGCTCGGTGAGAGAGAGAGAGAGAGAGAGAGAAAGAGAGAGACAGACGTGGCCAAAGTCCCACTGTCGAGAGATATGATAATTATTATTCGTTATTTCCATTTTTCGTCATTTCGCGAGACTAAATGTTGTGTTTTGAATTTTTTTTCATCTTCTAATCCCTATTTACGTTGTTCGACGTTTGGTTTCGTTTTCTTTTGAGGGGAATTTGGTTTTAGGGGGAAAATTAAAATATTGAATTTTTTCAACATATGGAATTTCGAAACACAAAATTTTATTGTAATTTAATTCGTTATTGATAATTACTATACGTGTGAATCGAGTTTTTTCTGTGACAGTTTTGGACTTTTTTTATATATAATTTATACTCTTTCTCTAAATTTGAATCGTAGTAGAATTTTTACTAATTAAATTGTACTTTACTGATACAAATTCAAATTTAGCGTCGAAGGTAACTTTATAGAGATCTGATGAGTAGAATTCTATACTGATAATTATAGTCATATTTTACTAATTCAAATTTAGAGAACTTATCAGTTTTCTATTAAATTGCTTAAAAATTTTCTATAGTTACACGAAAAAAAACCTGTTAATAAGCGGCAGGTTTCTCTAGAATAGCGAATTTCTTTAATTTAAAAAAACTAAAAATTTCTCTAATGTATATCAAAATTTGCAGATATTCTAGGCGCAAGTTTTTTTCAGTTTAGGAATTTCTATGTTAAATCTTTTAATACATATATTTGATATTATTACAAAAATTTTAACACAATTCTATATTCTATAAATTTCTTGATAAAAATATAATTATTTTTATAACTAAATAAAATTTTCATCAAGAATATTATTTTCATAAATAATAAAATTGTTTTCAAGAATTTCATTATTTTTATAAATAATAAAATTCATCTCAGAATTTAAATTATTTTTAATAGAATTTTAATAAAATTCTTCAAAAATGTAATTATTGTTAAAAATTTCATTAAAATTCGTCAAAAGAATTGAATTATTTAAAAATTTTTTATTAATTTCTTCGCAATAAAATTTAATTATTTTCATAAATAATACAATTTTTTACAAAGATTCAATTAATTTGAGAAATATTAAAATTTCACAGGAATTCAATTATTTACAGATTTTTTTTTATAAATTTCTTCGCAATAATTCAATTATTTTCATAAATAAAAAAATTTTTTACAGACAGTCAATTATTTTCTCATAAGTAATAAAATTTTATTTAGGGATTCAATTATTTTCATAAATAATAAAACTCATTGACGAACTGCAATTAATTTTGATAAAATTTAAATTGAATTCTTTGAAAAATATAATTTATTCTTAAAGATTTTATTAAATTTCGCATCGAAAGAATTCAATTATTTAAAAATTATTTGAAAAAAATCTTTATGAATAAAATTTAATTTTAAGAAACATTCAATTATTCAATAAATTATTTATTTTTGAATTTAAATAATTGAATTCTCGAAGAATTTTCTAATAAAAATTGATTTAAAATTGAATTTCAGTTAAAATTTTAGATAATAATTCAATATTATAAGCATCATAGCATGAATTGTTAGAAATAATTGAATTTCAAACAGGTTGCAAATTGAAATCTTTGAAAATCTGAATTTTTTATACTTTTAACTAACAATTCTGTAGAATTTATTTTTTTGAAAAAATTAAATTGAATTTTTTTTTAAAATTATTTGAATTTTTTATTTTCTAATATATATATTTAATTAAAGAATTTCCAAATAATTCAAAATTTTATAAAACTGAACTGTAAACAAATAAATTTGAAAATTCTCAAAGAATTTTTTAAAAAATTATTAAAAATAATTGATTTAAAAAAGAATTTTGGTTAAAAATTTTAGAAAATAATAATTTAACTGAAATGACGATAGAAAAATGACGATAATTAAATATTTAATTTAAAAAGAAGTTCTCGATGTTTTTGAATAATTTTACAATTTTAAGAAATTCGCAAATAAATGTATTAGAACATTTTTTTGAGTATCTAATAATTTTTGGAGGGATTCAGAATATTCTTTAGGGTCAGGGAAAAAGTTATTATATTTACTATATTAATTATTAATTTTCTACCAACAATTAGTTTTTTTAAAACTAATTCAGATTTCGAGAGATTAAAATATGAAATTTAGTCAAAATAATAAAAACTTGCGGCTTTTCATAAAATTACGAAAAGAAAAAAAATTGTGATTTTTCGAAAATATAAATAGTTAATATTAAAATACATTTTATTCTCTTTACACATTCCTGGCGCTTTGAACAACTTTGTCAGCAATACAACATTGTAATATACATATATATATTCTTGATATCACGTGTGCGCAGACTTGTTTCCTTATCCACAAAGATCTTCGACCCTTTCATAATTATAACCAACGTCTGCAAAAATGTTCGTATAATACGATTCCAAATGCCTATTAAGAAATAAAATTTCCTTTTTTCTATTATTCTTCTCGCACAAAATACTTGCCCTATATTTCGCATTTAATAAAAACATCAATAATATATTTTTTGTGATGTAATTTTTGGTTAGTTTCGATAAACAAGAGGCGAAGTCAGTTTAATTTTAACACTATATTTCTCTTGGCGACTGACCAAGATCATTTCCATGAGCCTCTCTCTCTAAACTCGCTTTTGATTTTTGGAGTTCGTTGTCCAGTTTCCAAAAAAATATCTCTAACTTCCCCCCCCCCCTTATTCCTACTATACCACTAAACTACACGAATAAAAATTAACCATATTGAAAAAAAAACTTGAAAAATGTATGCAAATGAGATAAATGATACCAAAAAAAGAAGAAGAAGAAGAAGAAGAAGAAGAAGAGAAGAAATTCTGAAATTCGAGGATAATACCAAAGCGCGCATGAATCTTACTTTCTGGTACCTTTCACATACGTTTATGCCCACGTTTTACTTGCTTGATACCACAATTTATGGCTTGTCCCTAATCATAAATCGTCTTTTCCTTTTACACAAAAGTTGCCTAACCTACCGCATTTTTACCTGTGATATAAATAGATACATCAATACGAATAAATTCGATAAAAAAAAAGGAAAAAAAAATATTTCTCGCTCGCTATTCGAGCGACAGGTAAAAGATATGCGTCAGCAGTCTCGGTAATTTTGGAGGCCAAAATTTTGTGCGGAGGTCGTTATTTTTAGGTCAGGGATCCTGTTCTCGTGTAGTTTTCTATGTCTTATTATCTCATAATATATAAAGACAACAAGATGTCAAAAAGAAATTTTTTGATCGCTGACAAAAAATTATGTTTCTTAATTCTTTTTTTTTTTTGGTTTTAGAAGTTTTTTTGGCACTCTCTCAATTTTTTGCTTTTGTAGGTTTACTCTAGGGAGTAGAGAAAAAAGTCTTTAACCGTTTACATTTTAGCTTCAATCATTTATTGTGCGTAAGGCTGAATAAAGTTTACATACCTTAAATTTTTGTTTAGACTTTAGAGTTCTCAGGCTTCGCATTCATCTACTAAAACCTACTATTTACTACTTTTTTACGTTACAGTAGTATTTGAGAACTTTTTTTAGATTTCAGCCACTAAAAGCTACTATTTCTGTTTTTTTTTTTTTGAGAATTTCCACTACTTTAAATTCGCTAATACTGGAAATCAAAAAAATATTCTCAAAAATTATAATTAAATTATTTAAAATGATTCAAATATTTTCGAAAAATATTCGAAATTCAATTATTTTCAATATCTAGTATTTTTGTAAAATTTTGCAAAACAATTCAATTCTTTAGAAAAAAATTGATAAAATTCATCTAAAATTCAATTATTTTCATAAATAATAAAAATTTTGACAGGAATTCAGTTAATTTAGAACAGCATTTTAAAAAAAATTACAAAAAAATCAATTATTTAATAAAATTTTTATACAATTCTTCACACTAATTCAATTACTTTCACTAATAATAACACTTTTCAATTTTCCATGGAAATTCAATTTTTTAAAAAAATTTTTGATAAAATTCTAAGCAAGAATTCAAATTTGTTGAAAAATAATCAAACTCATTGAAGAATTTCAATTATTTTTAATACTATTTTAAATTACTTAATCGAAAAATTCAATTATTTTCACAAACAGTTTTCCACAAGAATTCAACTATTTAAAATAAAATTTTTATAATATTAATTATATTTCGAAAAAATTAATAATTTAAGTCAAAGTTTATAAAAATTCTTATGAAGAATTCAATTATTTTCAAAAATAACAAAATTTTTCATAGAAATTCAATTCTTTTTAAACATTTTAATAAAATTTTTCGCAATAATTCAATTATTTTCGTAGATAATAAAATTCTTCTCAGAAATTCAATTAGTTTTGAAAATTTTAATAAAATTGTTAGCAATTATTCAATTATTTTCATAAATAATAAAATTCATCGCAGGATTTCAATTATTTTTAATACAATTTTAAAGGAATTGCTCAAAAAATGTAATTGTTCTTAAAAATTTAATTTCAATTCCTCGAAAAAATCAATTATTTAAAAAAATGTTTTTTAAAATTCTTTGGAAGAATTGAATTATTTACAAAAATATTAGAATTTTTCACAGGGATTCAATTATTTTCAAATATTTTAATAAAATTGTTCGAATCAAATGAATTGTAAGTATGTAGATACAGTTTTAATTAAACTTTTTTGTGTAATAATATATTTATTCTTTTAGATTTTAATTAAATTCTTAATTAATTAATTAATTAATTAATTTATGTATTTATTTATTCTTAATTAATTCTTTATTTAATTCTTTAAAATAATTTAATTATGTCGATAAATAACAAAATTAGTCCCGAAAATTCAATTATTTTTAGGCATTTTAATAAAATTCTCTGCAGAATTAAATAATTATTTTCATAAATAACAATATTCATCATAAGAATTCAATTATTTTTCAAAGTAATAAATTTTTCTTGGGAATTCAATTATTTAAAAAAATTGTAATAAATTACCACACAAACATTC